CAAACTCCTGGGCTCAAGTGATCCTCAGCCTCCTGAATAGCTGAGACTACAGGTGTACACCAGCCTGCCTGACTGATTTTTTCTATTTTTTATAGAGACGGTGGTATTGCTCTTGCTCAAGCTAGTCTCAAACTCCTGCCCTCAAGTGATCCTCCCACCTCAGCTAGGATTATAGGTGTGAGCCACCATCCTCAGAGGAATGGTTAAATTTTCAGGAAATTAGCAAATGGTTATTGAATTATTAGTAGCTTAAAGTTAGCCTTGTAGAAATATTTGCACCACAAAAATTGGCAAACACACAAATTGGGGCCTTTATCCCAGAGACCTGCTTTGCCAGCATACCACTGCATGCATATCTATGTATTATATGTATGTATACATGTGTATGTATGTGTATGTGTGTAGATATGTATGTATATATTCAGCCCCATTTACAGATGAGAAAACTGAGGCTCAGAGAGGTTAAATTATTGCCCCAAAATTAGGTGCCAAAAAAATTACACCAATTTATTAGGTAGTAGATCTAACCTTGAAATCCCATTCTCTTAACTTCCAGGCTGTCCTGCCTCACAGAGGAAAAAATATGTATGAAAGAGATTCATAAACAGGCAAAACTTTATAAATATCCATTATTAATCTTGACATAGAAATAAAGACCTTTCCTTAATCTCTATCTTTGTCTGTCAAAGCTGCAAACAAGTATCTGATTATGTCCCTCTTCTCACTAACAGAATTCTTCATTATCTTTACAGTGTAGCTGCATTTGTCTAACAAATTCTCTTCTCTGTTCATTTTTTCTGCTTCTCAGCATCCCACTCGCCTTTATTTACCACCCCCTTCTGCAGCCAGCCCTCTGTTATTCCCTTGTTTCCCATTTCACTTTTTGTCCCACCCTCCATTCTAGCAAGGAGGAAGTCAGAATAGAATCTGCCTTCCCAGCACAACTGCCTCCGCCCCCTTTATCAGGAGCCAAACAGAAAACCATCCGTACCCAGGCAAGTCCTGCAACAATTGCTACTGTTCCCCCTTCACAGTGGCAGGGAGGCAAGACGACCCATGATCTGATTGCTTTCCTTGTTCTCTGACACCCCAGAGAAACCACACATTCCATTTGATGGTCGTCAGAAATAACACGCTTAAGAAAGCTGGAATTATAAAACTGCTTAATTAGTAAGAGATGGTTTCACTGAAATATGCCCAGTTTTCCCTGGTGGTTTGATCTCCCTCTCAAAGTGGCCCGCCCTGCTCCCAGCAGCTAATTGCTACCTTTAACGTGGCGCCTCATAGACGCTCACTCCCTTAGTTTTATTTTCTGTGTCATGAGTGTTCCTTATAAAGAGACATTCTCTCTTTGATCTTCCTTTTCCAGCTCTTATTCTCCATCAGCAAACTCTAGAAAGTTGATGTGAGTGATGAGGGTAGAATCATTAGCTGCAAGAGCAAGCCCCACCCCCATTGCCCAGGTACAGTAGCTCACACCTGTAATCCTGGTTCTTTGGGAGGCAGAGACCAGAGGATTGTTTGAGGCCAGGAGCTTAAGACCACCCTGAGCAACATAGCAAGACCCCATCTATAAAAAAAAAAAAAAAAACTATCTGGGAGTGGTGGCATGTGCCTGTAGTCCCAGCTATTCGGGAGACTAAAGTGGGAGGACCACTGGAAACCAGGAGTTTGAGCTATGATCACACCACTGCACTCAAGTGTAGGCAATAGAGTCAAACCCCCTCTCCAAAAAGAAAAAAGAAAGAACAAAAGAGATTCTCCCATTATTAAATGAGTGTCAACTATAAACTAGATGCTGGAGATACACTCAGAGCTGAATAATCTTTGCCCATAAGGGACTTAAAGTCCAGTGGGAGAGACAGATACTAAAATAATTTTTTCAAATGGTGAGACACGCCCTGAAGGAGTGATTTAGGGCAGTCTGAAAGGGATTAGCAGGAGCACCTGGTTTTGTTAAGGAGTCAGAGAAGGCTTCTTGTAGGAGTTGACAAAGAATAGAGGGATCCCTATTCCATCTGCAAGAGAAGAGCTTGGTGTCATCAACCAACTGAAACAAGGGCAAAGAATCTGGTACTCATGCCTCCTGGGAAATTCTGGGATGTGTTGGAGATCCCACCATGACTTGACATACCAGGCTTCTGATATTCTAGAAGTCAGCAAACTACAGGCTATGAGGGGGAAAACATCTTTCCACCTGTTTTTGTAAATAAAGTTTTTTTGGCACACAACCACACCCATTCACTTGCCTGTTGTCTGAGGCTGCCTTCCCACTGCAGCCACAGAAGTGAGTAGTTTCCACAGAGACCATGAGTCCTGCAAAGCCAAAGTATTCACTCCCTGGCCTTTTGTAGAGAGAGCTTACTGACCCATATTCTAGACCAAGAGCACATGGGAAGTTTGTGGTATGGACCAGAAACCAGTCCATAGCTAAGGGGCCTAAGAATTGAGGATCCAAAGACAATGACCCAGACTAAAGAAAAGTTGGTAGGTGATGATTCTGGGTCTGAATCTAGGCTCTCAG